CTGTCAGCGCAGCGGCCAGGCAAGGTGCGCGCTTTAATGGCCCGCAGGTCTGCGCGCAGGTTGGAGACTCTGGCGTCTCTTCGAGCACATGGATTTACACGTGCTGCTTCCCTGCAAAAGGGGACGGAGATCCGTCTGCATGCGCGTTTGCATTTACAGTTGGTAGATAAAATGTCTTGCTTCATTTATCAGTGCGATTTTGAGCAAGTGGGTTGCATTGCATCTTTGCACTATTGAATTTAGCATAGGAACTTTGCCTGTGAAATTCATCCTACGTTAAAAAAATCCAATTAGATGGCACTGATTATATATCTATTACTGTGACGGAGATCCGTCTGCATGCGCGTTTGCATTTACAGTTGGTAGATAAAATGTCTTGCTTCATTTATCAGTGCGATTTTGAGCAAGTGGGTTGCATTGCATCTTTGCACTATTGAATTTAGCATAGGAACTTTGCCTGTGAAATTCATCCTACGTTAAAAAAATCCAATTAGATGGCACTGATTATATATCTAAAACTTTAGTTTTCACCTGTGAACCATGGATGGGTATTTGAAGTATGAAGAGTAGTGCGTAGAAGTTAGAGGAAAATCTTCGACTTACTTCCATCATTGTTACTGCACATGCAAGTATTACATATATTGTGTATTCGAGGGTCTTCAGACCACAGGAAAATCTAAAATCAACCACTAGTTCTCTTTTCAAAGCGGCTTATGTGATGAAGTCTTATGTGGTCTTTGTAAGATATTTTATTCAATGTTATCATTTTTTATGCATTATCTCCAGACTGCTAGACTGCAGAAACTCTGGGAAATTAAACCAGAAAAACTAACTCCTGGGTGGTTGCACTGTACTGTGCTTAAGTTTATTTTGTTCACTTTTGTGTCAAAACTGTTTATTTTATTGCAGTAAACTTGGCTACGTTTAAGGCTGTACTGTTGACTAGAAACATAAAAGTGCCTTTCAGTGATTTGTGAAACGACTGAAAATGACTAGAAACATAAAAGTGCCTTTCAGTGATTTGTAAAACGACTGAAAACATCCGCAGCTAACATCTCTCCCCAGGCTCCATCTTCCGCGGTATCTGTCTTTGAGACCGCTGGGGATGGCAGAGCGCGGGGAAGAGCTGTCGCACGAAGAGCTCTCCTGCCGCTCGCCCTTCCTCACGCGCCTGGTGAAGGGCCAGCCACTGCTGCGTGCCTTTGTAACTGCTGGTGCCAGCAGCACCGCGAGCAAAAGGAGGGCCGAGACAGACACGCTCTTGTTCTGCTCTGCTGCAAACAGAGACTGGGACTTTATCCATGCTCTCCAAGATGAAACAAAGACTGTGGAAGCCAGCCGGCACAGAGGATTACAGAAAACCCAAGTTATCTTGCGTTAAATGGATCTGGATTGGTTTGAACCTCATCCTGATGTAGGTCCATGCTTTAGCTACGCAGTTTGGCACTGGGATTTCTCAGCACTATGAAAAACCTTCCGTCTCTACGCTCAGTCACGCTGCTGTTAGATCCTACCTACCAGAATAGTCAGCTTTAAAAATATGACACTGGATTTTTTTTTCAAAGTAGCTTCCCTTTTACAAAGTTCACCAAATGCTTTGAACAACTTAAGGGAATTAAGCTATTGAAGTGCAAAGTAATATAATAGCTAACGGCATTATTGTTGAAATATGGAAAGCAAAAGCATGGTTTTAACTTGTTCAGGTTTGACGAGGTTATTGGGTGCAGTGTACAAGGCAAAGCAGATCAGGTCAGACTGGGATTCACCAGGACTTGAAGCGCTAGTCTGTCAAGAATTGTTTTTAAACACTATCTTGGGTACCATTAATTCCCGGATAGATACCGTCTCACAGCGTATGCTTCTCTCAGACATCATGCACTTCAGCTGTCTGGGAAGAAATGCATCTTTCACACAGAAGTACTTACTGCTGATTTTTCTTTAAAGATTTTTTCATTCTTCAGAAGGTTTTAGATGTCCTATGGCTTTTAAGTCTTTCTTCGTATAACCATGTTTTGTGTTCTCTCCAACCACTGGAAACCCAACCCACTCTTACCCGTCCTACTGGAACAAGATTCATTTTTTTAAAATGTAACTTCTAGATACTATCTAAATTTCATGCAGTTATTTCCAGGCAAAGAGATACCGTAAAGCTTACTAGTATTTAAATGTCTCACTGGAGCTCTTGGAGTGACCTTGTTATGGGTCCTAACTGTACTATAGCTCAACCTCCTTGAAATATATTCTAATATTACATACACAGTATTCAAATCACCAGCACATACAAATCTCAGACGATTTCTTGTTTTAACTGCACCTTATGTATAATTAACACTTTAGATATAATAATTCCTCTGATGTCTAGCAACATCTTAGTCCCTTAGTGTGATCTCTTACCAGTCTCCTACTGGTGCAAAATGCTAAGGAAGCCATCAGACCTCAAGAGGAATCCCTGTGAGCAGATCCACCTCAGGACCAGGGCCTCAGTTACACAACGTCTTAGGTTTTGTGTCTGTGCCTTTCAAGCAGTGTTCAGAGACAGTCTTTATGTATCAGCAGCAAATTGTTGCCATAAAACCATAAGCAGTGGCAGGGGGACCCAGAATAATTCCTGAAATTATTCTTAAATGCATTTTGAATTGACTGACTTTCATGTTGATTTCACAACACGCTTATGCAGCAGGCTGTAAAATCTCTAGTATATATTTACTGCCAATAAAATGATTTTTAAAGCATTTCAGATCATCATCAGTTCACATCTATGCTAACATTTGAAATGGAGATGTTCACAACAAACTGATTTTAGTATGAATCTGGTAACATGCTTTACACTCTAGTAGGCATACACCAAATAAAACTCCGAGCCTTATACAGTAAGTTCCATGTGAAGCCACCATTGTCAGTATTTCTTTAAAAACCCCCATGAATTTGCATTCCTTCTTCCTACATGTGATTTGCCTTTATATCAAAGGCCTGATTTTCATAATAAGTATTTACAAGTCAAATGGGAAACAACAGGAGATGCAGTGATCATTTCAGAATCAGATCCTAAATACCTACCTTTCTCTGAGGCGAGGGGGAAAGGGAAAAGAGAGCAACGCATTTGATATAGTTGATGTCTGTGCATCTCATGTTTGAAAGAGAACACTAATCCTGTCTTACTGGCAAAATCCAAGCAATCTTTGCTCATGCAAGGCATTCTAAAGAGATCTGAGGGTCTGGTGTGAATATGCACTTTTTATCTTGTACTTCACCGTAAGGGGTGTCCTCCTTTTTCCAGTCAAATCCCTTATTTAACCTTTATTTATTCTAAAAATTCCATCTGTGGGAATTTGTGCGATGCTGTCATCCAGCCAGCTTTGGAAAGAACTAAATGAAGACGACGCTCTCAACTTACACCCTGTTTTCTAGTTGGGAAAATGCCTCCAAACACAGAGTGTTCCAGTTTGGTGGGAGGTGTTTTGGTCCTTTCTAGTGAGAATGGTGGTTTCTCCCCAGTGGCACACTCCTGTGAATGTAGTCCACAATGCATATGCTTAGAAAAAGGCAGTTGTTTTGCTCCAGGAGAGGAAAAAATGCGAAGAGGAGAGCACTCATGCGACCTGGGGTGTTAGGTGAAGCATGCTTGCACCAGCTAGCAAGGGTGAGGCATCCTGCAAACATTGCATGGGAACCTAAATATTTGCGTCTCCCTAAGGTGGGCCAGTGACTGGATCATACCTAAGCCACAAGTAGTAGAAAACACTGCAAGAAGGAAAAATGTATAGAAGAAATTCCTGTATTTGAAATCCTGATTAGCTATACAGAGAAGAAATTAAAATTACGAATGGGTCTGACCCCCTTTTATCTATTTTCATTGTTAGGAAGACGAGGAAGAACTAAATGGAGACTTAAAACTCAGAGAACTAGTAGCTGAACTTCTGCAAGTTCAGGACAGCTTAAAGTTCATCAGAGATCCACTGCTGAAGGCAAAACTGCAGAATTTGATCTACACAGAGGAAGGAGAGGAAGTGAAATAAAGACTAACTTGGCTGAATCATAAGATCTTCAATGACCTGAAAGAAAGTAGAGAGTAGAATTACTAAATTATGAATAAATGTGTAGACTATGTATGGACAAACCCAGAAAGATAAGGTCCCAAAACGTTAGAAAATTGGATTTAAAAGATAGCAAGGATGTTGGAAAGATGCATAGTGAGATGACCAAGGAAAAAATTGGTCTGTTAATCCATAGAGGGGGAAATCCATTTAATCATCACCTAATGATTGGTGATGCTGAGACATCAGTATCCTTAATGCCTTTTTTAACCTCAGTCTTCAATTTAAGAAGGCAGATGTGATTTCACTACTAGCACCACTGACAAAAGTCTAAGAGCTTAGGCTAGAAAAATGAAGAAATAGACTGGAAAATACTTAGTTAAGTTAAAGATTTTTGGATAGACTGGACCTGATGAAACTCCCTTAGGGTTCAAGCAATGTTAGAGCTCCTAGTGACTATCTCCAAGAATCAACAGAGAATGAGTGAGGTTCCAGAAAACTCGAAAAGGATTGCATCTCTCTCAAAGGGTGGAAGGAAAAAGCTCTACAAACTGGTTAGCTGAATTTCTACTTTAAAAAAAAAAAAAAAAAAGATTACAATGGGTAATCCAACCATTTGCAAGAATCTAGAAAGTAAAGATATGAGAGGTAACAGCATGGGTTTGTCAGTAACAAATAATACCAGATCAGTCTGGTCTACTTCTATCAGATGGTAACAGGCCTTGTGGATAGGGTAGAAAGAAAGAGGATCATAGGGTTTCATATAATATGCTCTTAACTGAAAAAAAAATATGGTCTAGTCAAGTATATAAGGTGTTAGAGCGTGTCCAGAGAAGGGCAACGAGGCTGGTGAAGGGGCTGGAGAACAAGTCTGATGAGGAGCGGCTGAGGGAACTGGGGTTGTTTAGCCTGGAGAAAAGGAGGCTGAGGGGAGACCTCATCGCTCTCTACCTACAACTA